ATTTAATTTAATTTAATTTAATTTAATTTAATTTAATTTAATTTAATTTAATTTAATTTAATATTTAATTTAATTATGTGCGGCCCAAACAAATTTTCATCTTCTAATGTGGCCCAGGGAAGGTGAAAGGTTGGACACCCCTGAACTAAATAATACCCTACCCTTACACACATACCCATCAGATTGTTTAGTACAATATTGTCTTTTGCTGCTCTGACTGTAATAGCAAATAACAACTATTTCTGTAAAAATTGACAATCTGAAGAAATCTTTTGATGCCCTTCCGGGATTCTTACAGAAAGCAAATTACCTTCAGTGAGCTTCTGTGCTTGATATCCCTCCACCTGGATCAGGGGTGTCAAACTCAATTTCATTGTGGGCTGCATCAAGGTTGTGTTTGACCTTGGAGGGCCTGGCTGGGCGTGGCCTGGCTGGGCAAGGCCAGCATGACGTCACTCGTGTCAGGGGGCACCTGTGGTGGCCCGAGCGCTCTGCCAGTGAAAACGGGCTCCCAATCTCTGTTTTTGGCTGCGATGGTCTCCTGCAATCCTCTGCCAGCGAAAATGGAGCTTGCGAGGGCTGCACACGGCCCTCCTGAGCTCTGTTTTCGCTGGCAGAGGCACTGCAGGTGGGTCTTTTGCTGTTTCCAGGGCAGCCTCGTGAGCTAGAACTAAACACCCCACGGGCTGGATCCGGCCATGAGTTTGATACCTCTGATCTGGATGGATAAATAGCCTGGAAAGAGTAACCCTTGTGCTCCTCCAAGCCCAAATAGCAAAAAGGATTCTATCCTCATGTATCAACATAAACAGTTGCTCTTAATAACAGCATTAATGTGGGGAGATTGAAATCCAGAGACCTTGATCATTTTGTCCTAAACCAACCATTTCACTGTCAACTTCATGCCATTGACATCGTTAATATGAAATGCTTCCCAGCAAAAAAGGATTCTGTTGCTTTTCAGAAATGCGACTATTAGCACTTTTAATAATCAGGATCTTTTTAAGGACTATTTAGAATTACCTCTATTCGGGGAATCTCTGAGGACAACATGAGGCCTCTTCTAAACAACATTACATCAGCTTACTCATTCCAAAACGCTGTGTCTGTTTCCCCCCCTTTCCTTTTCTGCTTATCTTGCTTTGAATGGCTGGAGGAAGGGGATGGGGCAGGAGGAGAGAAGAGCAGCAAGGAAGACCAGAGAACAGAAGACCATCTATCTTATCTTCTGCTTCTAGAAACTAGCAAAAAAAGGGGGTATTTTTCATCCACCACTTTTTTTCCACCAACTCTGCTGTTACCGGTGCTTTACGCATCAGCAGCCCCACATAAAACTCCAAAAACATCAGGAGGTAAAGATGCGTTCCAATTCAGAGAAATGGAAAGGGGCAAAGACTTTACAGGTAGCCTCGACTTACAACCATTCATTAATGATTTGAAGTTATGACAATTCTGAACTAAGGCACTTATGACCCACATATACCTGCAGTTATGGCTGTCGCAGTAGCCCTGTGGTCAAGTGATCAAAATTTTGGGGTTTGGCAGCCCCTTCAAATTTACAACAGTGAGGTTCTTTCACCACCACCCCCTCATTTATCTCCCCCTCATCTATGCCCTTTTGGCCCCCTGCTGCGCTGTGCTCCATTGCCCCAGCTGACTTTTGCCAATTTCTCATTCCTTCCTTCCTGCTGATAAGAAATGCATGGCCTGGCTCTTCCTGAGGCAGCTGCTGGCAATGTGAGACAGACTCCCCCAGGTCTTGGCAGAAAGCCATTCCAGGGAAGAAAGCTTCACCTGGCCAGCAGCTGCCTCACGAAAAGTCAAGCTGGGCACCCCTCATCAACAGTGCAGCGAGAAGGTGAAGATCAGCTGGGCCCTTGGAGGGCAGGGCAGCAGAGGCTACTCTGGCTGGGCCAAGGTAAGGCTAGGCTTCACATAGCACAAAGGGGCTTCCTGTTGCATCATGCCACTGGGGCTTTTTGCACCACACCAGGAAGCCCCTTTGAGCCATACGAAACCCATCCTCATTTCGAGTCCAATCCAACAGCACAGTGCAGAGGAGCTTTCTGATACATCACAGCTCGAGGGCATTTTGCAGTCCCAGAGCCACAAAGCATCAAGAAGTGCTTGGCTGCAATGTATTCTTTCCCCAGCCTTCCTGAGTTCAGGACATACCACCACACCACTCCTCCCCCCCCCCCCACTTGTGCATAACCTGCACTGACCCTCCCAAGGCGGCAACCCCATGCAACTTAGCTGGGATTCCCTCCACTTCCTGTTTAACAGGAATTATGACGGCAACTGAGACTGCAGGGACTGCCATCACTAAGCAACGAAGGACATCTTGCTCTAGGACCACACTACTTAATGATGGAAATTCCAACCCCAACTGTGGTCATAAATCAACGATTATCTGTACACAAAACTGTAATCTGTGTTTGACTTTGGCTGTTACATGAATTGCATTCAATTTGCAGTGTTGCATGAATCCAGCCATTGTGCTGTAGACAAGAAACATTTACTTTGTGAACAGAACATAAAGGGGAGTTGTTAACCTGCCCCACATGTGCACTTCCTGGTTCCTGATACAAAGTCCTTACACATCTGAGTTTACTTCATACTTGATATAAAATACCAGCTTTGATATTGAATGAATCCATCTGGACTCCCCAATACACACTGTCATACGCTTACACTTAATCTTTTTCAATAATGGTAACTTGAGTTTCTCAGCAAGCAACTTTGTTGAATGGCCATTCAACATGGAAAAATCCTGCAGTTGCCAGCTCAGAGGTATTCTTAAAAGCCAGGTGTATAGATAAAAGAGGCCAAGAGTATTAAACACTGGTTTAATTATCTTGCTTTAACCAAACAACTAATCAGAATTAGGATCAATACTTTGCCCAAAAGCATATGGTGGGGGGAAAAAAGTTATAATCAATTTATTTGTTAAGGTCTCTTAGATCTCATTGTTATTTTCCCTCCAACTTGACTACCCGCTGTCAAAAATGAGTAGCTAAAGTTTGGTTAAGCGGAAACTAAAGTGCACAAAATAACCTTCGTTTCTGCATCCTGTCTCTTATTTTCTGAAAACATTATCAACTCTAACCTCTAGCTGCAAAAACATGTTGTACCTCAGAAGTCCATCGAAACAATTATCAGAGGGACTTTTATGATCAGGTATAAAACCCAACCAGGCAGCTTCGGTTTGTTTATTTATTGCCAGTTCACGTCATTCATTCAGTCTTATTTCCCAAATTCCTTCCTCCAGTTTTTCCGGTTATTCCAAACGTTTCCCTTCCGATGTCGTCACACGAAGTACACAAGGGACTTTCCTCCCGTGAATTTATCGGAAGCAGGCGGACGGCCGGGCGGGGAGGGGGAGACACCGCTCAGCGTCTGACCAAGCGGCGGGGGCAGAGAATAAGGGTAGACCCAGCACAAACTTGGCAGGGTCATTTCCGTCGCCCCCTCCTTCCCCCCCCCCCCAAAAAAAACCTTCTGTAGGGACGGCGCAGCCCCAAGGCGCGAATTCACTACTAACATTATCGGCGGGCACGTTGCTCTTCCCGAAGAGTTCGAACTACAACCGAGCGGGGGAAGCAGCAGCGAGAAGACCGAAGGGAGGAATTAGAAGGAGACGAAGGTTAGGCGCCAGACTGACGGACAAGTGGGAGGAAGAGAGCTCGACCGGCTCTGCCCCTTTAGGCTCACCTCTCCTAGACGACCTCCGTGTCAGGCTATTTCGGAAGAAGCGGACGAACCTCTCTCCCGCCATGCCGAAGGCGGCTCGCTCGCTGCCGCACCGAGCTGCTGCCGCCACCGCCGCCTCGCCCCGCTTGGTGCCGACTTAAAACTTTTACACCTGGAAAAGTGAAAGCGGTAGCAGCACCGGAGTCACCGGGCGGGAGGAGCTTTCGGGTGGCTGGGAAGAGGCGCGCTGCAGTTCCCGAGCGAGGCGATGGGCGGAGAGCAGAAGGAACTACACCTGAAGGACGGCAGCCCGCCAAGAAAACACCAGGCCGCCACGTGCGCGCGCCTCACTTAAAATTGAGGCGCAAGCCTGCCCTGCCCGCATTGGTTGTGGGATCGGCAAGCTATCCGTGTCGCCTCAGCAGACTCGCAAGAGGCTTGCTCGTACATTTGTACACCGCTGCAGCTCCTTGCCTTTCCTTGTTTTATATTTATCTTCGGCCATGCTACTCGGGAGTTTTTCAAAAAGAATGTGGCATATATATTTTTTTTAAAAAAAAAGCAGCGCAATTTCCCCGATATCTCACATGGCTCCTGTGGGCTGACATGACATTTGCCAGGTTTTATTCTTTAAAATCCATAAGGAAGAGTTGAGGGCCAAAGAATTGAGGCCTTTGAACTATGGTGCTGGAGAAGACTCCTGCGAGTCTCCTGGACTGCAAGGCGATCAAACCGGTCAGTCCTAGAGGAGATCAACCCTGACTGCTCTTTAGAAGGCCAGATCCTGAAGATGAAACTCAAATACTTTGGCCACCTAATGAGAAGGAAGGACTCACTGGAGAATTGCCTAATGCTGGGAATGGTTGAGGGCAACAGAAGAAGGGGATGACAGAGAATGAGGTGGCTGGATGGAGTCACTGAAGCAGTAGGTGTGAGCTTCAATGGACTGTGAGGAATAATAGAGGAGAGGAAGACCTGGAGGAACGTTGTCCATGGGGTTGTGTTGGACATGACTTCGTGACTAACAACAACATTCCTTAAAATGTCTTTTGTTAAAGGCACAAAATATACTTAATTTATCACATTCAAAGTTATGAAAAAACTTGAATTGCACCCAGCATCCTGGAGAAGTGCAATAGCCATGTTAAGATCCACTATTTTTCTAAATCCAAGCTTTTCTTAAATAGTAATTCCACCCATACAGGGCAAAATCAAACGCTCATGGAGGATCACACACACACACAGACGTGATTCCTCCCCCATGTGAGAGCACCCCCAAAAACACTACAGGTACTCCTCAACTTACAACCACAATTGAGCCCAAAATGTATGTTGCTAAGTGAGAAATTTAAGTGCGTTTTACCCCCATTTTATAACTTTTTTTGTCACATTTGTTAAGTGAATCACTGCAGTTGTTAAATTTAAATTAGTTAAATGAATATGGCTTCCCCGTTGACTTTGCTTGTCAGAATGTTGCAAAAGTTGATCACGTGACTCCAGGACACTGCAACCATCATAAATGTGAATCGATTGTCAAGCATCCGAATGTAAATCACGTGACCATGGGGATGCTGCAACGGTGATAAGTCACTTTTTTTAGTGCCATTGTAACTTCAAAAAGTCACTAAGTGAACTGTTGTAAGTCAAGGATTTTCTGTATATACAGCATATATAATATATTGGTCTGGCTGTGAAATATCTATGTGTTAAATCGTAGTCTTAGTTTCAATGCAAGTTTATCCAATTGAAATTTATTTAATAAACTAGTATTAAACAAACTCTAAATTCATCAAGAAAATGTATGCTCACATTAACCTGGTCTCATTATTTAAGTAAGTAGCTTCCTTAATCGATTGTGGAAATACTGTAGCCATGACATTCTGATTAGCAAGCTAATAAACTTGATTAGCAAAATATATGGGCTGGGTGACATTCTGTTGTGTGCACATCAGACAATCAAACTGAAAGAATACTCACTTGGATTTTTGGAATGAAGTATTAAATGGTGTGCCGCAATATTCAGTACTTGAAACATTTTTATTCAAGGGTGAAGAAGTGGGAAAATGCTGATAAAATTAGCTGGTTATGTAATCTGAGTGAAACAGCCAAATAAATCAAAAACTCATATTGGTCTTAATAGGGTAGAACAGTTTTTCCAACTTGTGGTCCACAAAAGCTTGAAGAAATGTTATGATTTAAATCTTGAGTTAAATCTTGGGGGTCCCTGACCATGGTCCACAAAAAGATATTTAAAGAGGGTCGGTCAGTGATGAAGTAAAGGTTGAGGATAACTTACTAAAGTCGAATAGACAATGCAAAAGTCTTCATTTAGAAAATAGAATTCCAATAAAGTGGGTTAAGAAGTGGGATATCTGGCTCTGAAAAAGTTCTTGGAAAAGTTGCTTTCAAACTGCATGAGTCAATAAAATGGTGTTACTATAAAAAAAGAAAAAGAAAAAGCAGATGCGGCATCAAAAGAGGTAGTTTCCAAATCAAAGGAAGCACATTTTGTAATTCAGTACATTGTACTGTTTCTACAGGACCTATGATGTAGGTCAAGGGTCATGAAGTCATTTCCTTGTTTCTTACCAGTTAGACCTGTAAAAGACAAGCACTTTGTTACTCTTTTACCACAGGCGTGCAAGACAATCTTTCAAGACAATTTTTAGTTCGTTTAGAATTCAATCATTCTGTGGTTTGGCCTGCCCAGGTGGAGAAGGATATTTATTGCTGGGGCAAAACAGTTTATCAGACCCATCTCAGGTATCTCCAAGGCTTTACACCTTAGGAAGAATTCTTGTAAAGGGGGATTAAATGATTTGGGAATATTAATTGTTAAGATGATTTACCTGGAGATACGTTACTATTCTGAAGATACCTGAAGGTAACTTATTCTTCCATAGAGTATCTGAACCTTATATTCACAGAAGGATAAAAGGTTGCTCTTCATTGTCCCAGACTGCAAGATACAAAATAGTGCCTTTAAGTTATAGGAAGACAGATACTAAATAAATGTTAGAAAGAGGTTTCAACATCACATTTGTTAATTGGCATAAGATAGATGGCCCTCTGTTAGGAAAATTTCAATGTGGATTCCTAAGGATGTGTAGCTTAGAATATTATGTAGCTAGCTGATCATTCATATTCAATGTTTAACCCCCAATGAAATTCATCAAATTTGCAGGTGACACTAAGCTGGCAGGAATAGCAACACTGCATTAATCAAGATCATGTGAAGTTCTAATACTGCTTTACAAAGCCTTAGCAAGACCACACTTGCAATACTGCATCCAGTTCTGGTCGCCACAATACAAAAAAAAATGTAAAGACCCTGGAAAAAGTGCAGAGAAAAGCAACAAAAATGATTAGGGGGCCAGAGGCTAAAACATATGAAGAACAGTTGCAGGAATTGGGTATGTCTAGTCTAATGTAAAGAAGGACTAGGGGGGACATGATAGCACTGTTCCAGTATTTGAGGGGTTCCTATGAAGATGACGGGGTGAAACTATTTTTCAAAGTACCAAAAGACGAAACAATGGTTGGGAACTAACAAAGGAGAAAAACAGTGAGAGCAAGCAAGCAACGGAATTGCTTGCCTTCCGAAATTGTGGGTGCTCCATCACCGAAGGCTTTCCAAAAGAGATTGGGCAGCCATTTGTCTGAAATGATATAGGATCTTCTGCTCAAGCAGGGGGTTGGACTGGAAGACCTCTGAGATCCCTTCCAACTCTATTGTTCTGTGTTCTACTATAATCCCCTTTTAACAGAAGGTGCTTGCTGTTGTACAGATGTGCAATACTACATTCTATGCATGAGCAATTTAGTTCATGGAGTAGATAATTTGAATGGTTCATGCCCAGACAAAGCTTACGTATTTTACTTGGCCATAGACCCACATTGTATATTTTAGGCAGAAATATTTTGAGATGGGAAGAATTACATTGTAATTTTGAATGTAATTTTGAATGGTCACTAAATGAACTATAAGTTGAGGACTACCTGAATAGCAATGGCTAAGGAGTGATAGGAAAATGAAAACCCTAGGAAGATAAGGGGAAAAGATAGCTGGATGTATGGTGGTATCTAAGGTAGATGAGGAAAGGACGGCACTGGAAAAATAGGGAGGGGGGAGTTATCAAACATTAATTCAAGCATAGTTTGAATATAGGATAATATCAAGCATAACTGGCCCATCTTCTCATGCCCAGATTTTCTTAGAATTCTCAGAACAGAAGCCAGCATCACAAATACCTGCTTAGTGTAGATTTCACTGAAAACACAAAACAGTATAGAGAAATATAGAGTGGTGCCAGGCTTAGGGAAAAAGAATTAGATTTTCAGAGTTGAATTAGTCCAAAATGCCAATTAACCTCCAAGGAAAAGTACTTATGAAATGAGCCAGACAGTTTTGAGCACATCTAAAATGAAATCTAAGTGTTGACATAGTTTGCACAATTGACAGTCTGCATAATTATTTGAATAATCATATTCAAGAATCTGTAATCCCAAATCCAAGCCAAAATAGTGCTTAAATATTTCTGCACAATCATACATACACACACGTGTGTGTGTGTGTGTGTGTGTGTGTGTGTGTGTATTAGTGGTGGGATTCAAAATTTTTTACCACCGGTTCTGTGGGCATAGTTTAGTGGGCGTGGCAGGGGAAGGATACTGTAAAATCTCCAGTCAGAGATGGTATTTGCCGGTTCTCTGAACTCAAAATTTCTGCTACCAGTTCTTCAGAACTGGTCAGAACCTGCTGAATACCACCTCTGGTGTGTGTGTATGTGTATCTAACATCAAACTAGATATCTAAAGTTTTATTTAAATATAACTGTTTCTCAAACACAGTACTGATGGAACTGGGCTCTAATTAATATAAAAACAGAGTGAATTTATTTGATGTATTATATTTTTCACCACATGATGTCAGGGTAACCACAATGAAACTACATGTTGGCAAAATGAACAAAAGTGCACATGTATATTAAATATTACATAATATATGTGTATAAAGAATATACAGGAGTGTCTGCAAGGTATGGTCAAAAAAGTCAAGATACTGTCCATGATGGAGCAATTGAAGCTTTGCCTGGTTTATGTGTGTCACACATTATGCAGCACACAAAAAATTGGTGGAGCTTTTATTGTATTGTTCCATCTTGCTTTTTATTGCACGGTCTCCATCTTGTTTTATGTATATATACTGATATATATATACTGTTGCTGCTGACACCCCT